TAAATACTGTACTGATATATAGACAAGAAAACAAACAAGAAAAGAAAAGTACACAAGAGCAGTATATGAAGAGGGAAAATAAGTTGCAAAAACGGCAGACAATTAGAGACCAATGAGTTAACAAACTAAGATCAAAGACTACCACAAAATCTGCATACAGAAGGCAGGAAAAACACGGAGCTTCGCTGGACGCACATACCAAGGACTCCCCAGGAAGTCCAACAGGTAGATATAGTATTGCTCATACGGTACTTAAAACAAAAGTTACAATCAGCACAAATATCATGAAAACAGGCTGAGCAGAAAAGAGAAAGAGACAAAAGACAAAGAAAGGGCTCCAGGGGATCGTGACGGGAAAAGAAAAAAAAAATCTTATATTGACCTTCTGGGTTTTTTTTTTTTTCAAACTACAAAGAATATGTTGCCCCATCATTTTATATTTCTGATATGTGTCTGTGGTATCATGTATTTGTGTTAAAGGTATCTTGCTTACATATTTCAACCTGATCATGAGAAACATGAGAGCACATCCATCCTAAGGTGGCCAATTTTCTGGCTGTGCTGGGAGAACAGCCTGTCTGTCCTCCAAGTCCTCAGACCTGTGCTGACACGCCACTGCACAGCTAATCACTGGGAAGATCAGTGACTTACTGTTTCTCCACCCCTACCTCTCCAAGCCCTTTTTGCAGCTGAGAACAAAGATGTTGTGATCACTTAAAAATGAAATAAAGGTATTTATATTTACCTTTCATTTCTATTTGAAACTGAATGGGTTGTTTGACAAGGTAAGAGTTCACATATACTTTATTGTTCATCAAGGGTAGAAGGAGATGCTATAACCCTAGCCTCCCCTTCCTATTCACAAATGCGTGCTAGAAACAGCTTGGAAGAGAAATGGAGATGTTGTTTGGTGGCTAAGGACTAGACTAGGACTAAACTAGATAAATAACAGTAGGTTAGGCCAAAGTGAATAATCTGATCCACCTACTTGTCCTGAATCACTAACTTAAGATAGTGGATCAGTATTAAAACCAGGGAACTAGCATTTTCAGAAAGAGGGTTCAACACTAGTAGCCTTTATATTTCTGTTAGTGTGGGTTTACTTTAAATCAGTTGCCGCATTCGAGTGCAGCTTCTTGATTCCAGAGCTAGGCTAAACACATGGCATTGACTCCTTCCTGAGCCAATACTTAAAGTGTTACTAAACCCACAACAGTAAAATCAGTCTGTATATGCAGTAAAGCATGCTTGTTATACTCACTGTGGAACCTAAGGAGTTAATGCTCTGCCTTGCGTAAAAACGCTGTTTGATCCTGACTTCTCTGATCCTCCCCATCTTCCAGTGTCCCCGTCTTATCTCCTGATAACACAAATCGTGTGGAGTCACTCTGCATATGCTCAGTTTGTTTTTTTTTTTCTTGGGCAACTGCATGTGATCAGCACACAGCCAATCAGCACTGTCCATGACAGAGGTCAGGGGTTCTGCATCCTCCTAGAGCAAAATGAAAACTCCTCCTAAAAGCTTTAACCAGTGCTCGGCTGGACACTGATAGAAGTCACAAGACTGCTGTAACTGCTGATGAGAAAAGGTATTTAGCTGTTTATATTTACTAAAATAATTGCATTTCCATGTTGTGTGTACTGTGGGAGAGCAGATATAGTGAACGCAGGGTCCTAGGTTTAGTAACACTTTAAGTTATGCACCTCCTGACAAAAGCACATTGACATTCAAAAGTCTTATCTAACAACATTCAACAGAAATTAAATTGTATCAGCCCCAGCCAATGGATGGACTTTCTTTTTTTAATTAACTATTTTTTTATTCTTATGACACTTTTTTTCTATGTTAACTGGACATGTATTACATCGTCACCCTATAATTTACTATAAAAATAATAACAATTTTACCAACAATAATGCCATATTGATAACAGAAATGTATTTTCAGGACCTCATTTTTTTTCTCTCTCCTATTTTCTTTAGAAGGTGCCCCCTACAGAGCATCATATGTACTTACAGGTCATTTTTTCCATTCTCTTTTACACCCCATGATAACAACACCATTGATTTTAGAAAGCTGAATCCCTTTGGAGGAACAAAAACAATCTCCTCTGTGCTCCGTCAAAATACCTACTGAAATTTTCTCTAGTTATCTTCAAAAGGTCAGCGATTACAGAAGTTTGAGGAGAACACATGGTACGTGTTATCTTCCTCCTTTCCTGCAGTGCCAAAAATAATATTAATGTGGCAGCTCCCCATTGCAAATTAGTTCTTTTTTTCACTGTGCGGAGACTTTCTATGTAATTCAGCTCTTTTATTCAGGCTTATAACTAGCTGGCAGACTCTTAAGATAAACACATCTCAATTATTCCACATTTTCTTTAAATCAAACTCCAAAAACAATGTTGTTCTAATATTATTGTTTTAATATTTCAACTATGTTTTAGGTTTCTTTTTTTAATAAAGATTTTAAAACAGAAATGTTACATGATCATGGTGTGAGTTAAAAGAAATATGAAATCATTCTTGTACGTAAGTGAATTTATTATTAGGTGGTTTTTGTACTTTCTCATGGGTACTGTTGTTATTGTAATTTTTTAAACAGCTTTACTTTACGTCACAAACATAATTTGTGAATGAAACATATTTCAGCCCTGCTATTAATATTAATGTGTTATGAATGCAAACCTCTACTAATACAGACCAAAAATAGAAAAAAACATATTTGCAGAAGGGGCATCACCAGTAAATTCAGCGAGTTATATGACCAGTGATCTTATAAAAGATCACATTATAAAAAGTACATTTAACATTTTTAGACCATAAGACTCAAAAGATCTCATAGTAAAATGTCCAAAAACAATTGTTGGACAGATGGTTTTGACAAAATGTAAATTTTTTTTCCTGTTTCATGGTTTGAACAAAGTTTGTTTCCTTGCAGGATAATGTAGGTCACGCGTTTTAATGATTTTATTGATGGTCCTTTTTCCTTTTATTCCCTGCTAGTAGAGATCCCCAAGAGGAGAATGATAAGGAAAGTTTCAAAGAAAACAATCTGCTAGGGATATATATTCTCTGCAAGGATAACCCCTCCAACATGCACTATTTTTATCTTTTTTTTTTTAATTTCGAGGTACACTGCCTTGCCTACAGAACAGTGCTTCTCAACCTTTTTCAGTCCTTGCACCCTTTAAAAGTATGCAAAATCTCGAGGCACCCTGGTCTAAAAAGAAACAATGTAAATGCTACCTATCAATGGGAAACCTGAGCCTGGGATAATAAACACCACCGCCTTGATGAAATGACCATCACATTGGAAGTCCCCCTTCACATCAGAGGCCCCTCCACATCACATCAGAGACTTCCCATCACATCAGAACTTCCCCATCACATCAGGGTTTCCCCATCATGTCAGTGGTCTGCTCATCCCATCAGTGTCCCCCCCATCACATAAGTATAAACCCATGTCCCCACTGTACATCAGAGGCCCCCTATATATGAGTCCCCCCCATCACATCAGAGCTTCCCCATCATATTTACAGTCCCACCATCCCCAGAGAGTCCTCTCATCACATCAGAGCCCCTCAATCACACAGTCCTCCCATTACCGAGCCCCCCATTCACACAGCCCCCTTAATCTCACAGTTCCCCAGTCAAAGAGCCACCCCGAATCACAAAGACAACTCATCACAGACCCTTCCATTCAAACAGTGCCCCATCAGAGACCCCTTACCGCAAAGTCACCTCTTCACATCAGAGGCCTAATGTTTGGTTCCAGCAGTGTGGCAGAGTGCAGGAGGTAGAGAAGATCTGGGAAGTTGGATTTCCATCTTCTCTTGAATGTTGGGGGCTTCTAAGCATGCTGCCTGCCCTGGATCAGAGTCATGTGTTGCCATATTACTGGCAAGTCAAAGCTGCACTTGCTGAATAAATGAACATGAAGCACTCTGCACAGGAAGCACTCTCACTGTGTTCATTCAGGAAAGGAAGGGGGTCAATGAACATGGCCACACGCAAAAGTTGACAGCTGGCAGAGAGGGAGAGGAGGTGAAGCCAGGAGTGCTGTGGGTGGATGGGGGGCATGCTGGCACCCAAGATATGGGTAAAGGGGGTATCAAGGACAAGGGAGAGGAAGAAAGAAAAGTGGCGCAGTGCAGACTGCCGGACAGTCTTGCTATACATCCATAGTCACTGATGTGACCATGAGTTTGTAGCAAAAGGAGGAATACAGCCAATAGAAGGTATACTGACCAGGCCAGCTGGAAATGGTTCTGTGCCATGTTATGCCTTACGTCAGTGGCAGTGAAAGGGTTAATGTTAGGGTTGCACCATTACTGTTTTTTTGTCGGCGAGTATAAGTACCTATACTTGTACTCAAGTACATGCCAATACCAATTACCGATTCCTTTACGGTGTGAATGAGCCCATACAAAATTAATGGGCTCAAATCGTATTGCAAAGAATCGCATGTGACTTGCAAAGGAATGCAGTGTGATTCCTGTCTGAATCACAGGCGGTTTTCCTGTAGGTGTGGTGCGATTTCTACCATTCACTTTGTATGGCTCAAATATCACCGCACCTGCAATTCTTTTTCAGATCCTCAGAGAGTTATTTGCCATGAGGTGCCATGTTGAACTTCCAGTGACCAGTATGAGAGAGTGAGAACGATAACACCAAATCTAACACCACCTGCTATTCACACCTGAGACCTTGTAAGACTAACGAGTCACATGACACCGGGGAGGGAAAATGGCTAATTGGGCCCAATTTGGACATTTTCACTTAGGGGTGTACTCACTTTTGTTGCCAGCGGTTTAGACATTAATGGCTGTGTGTTGAGTTATTTTGAGGGGACAGCAAATTTACACTGTTATACAATCTGTACATTCACTACTTTACATTGTAGCAAAGTGTCATTTCTTCAGTGTTGTCACATGAAAAGATATAATAAAAAATGTACAAAAATGTGAGGGGTGTACTCATTCTGTGAGATCCTGTACATGATTTTGCATTTCCATATAGGGGGGAGCAAGCGGCCACGGCTGTCAATCACCAGCCTGTGATTACTCGCCGGCGCCCAGTGATTGACAAACATCTCCGACAGGGAGGAAAACTGTTTGTAAACAAAACAGTTTTCCTCCCTGTCAGCTTAAGCACTCTGCTTTCGATGGCTCTGCACAGCACAGCCATGCAAAGCAGTGTGCTTACAGTGTAGCACAGACACACAGCCCACAGTAAAACACACAGTTAACCCTTTGATCGCCCCTCATGTTAACCCCTTCCTGCCCAGTGCCATTAGTACAGTGTCAGTGCTTTTTTTTTAGCACTGCTCACTGTATTGGTATCACTGGGGATGTCAGTGACACCAAGTCAGTTCTCCCCAGTGTCAGAATGCCCACCGCGGTCCTGCTATAAGTCGCTGATTATACCATTACTAGTAAAAGAAAAAAAAAATTCCAGAATCTATACCGCCATTTGTAAACACTATAAATTTCACGTAAACCAATTAATTTACATGTATTGGGATTCTTTTTAGCAAAGACGTAAAGAATACATTTTGCCTTAAATTTATGAGGAAATTAGATTTTTTTAAACTTTTTTACTGGACATGTTTAATAGCAAAAACAGAATTGTCGTTTTTTTTATAGCGTAAAAAAAACTGCGCAGGCGATCAGATGCCACCAAAAGTCATGGGAAAGGACGTAAATTTCATTTGGGTGCAGCGTTGCATGACTGCGCAATTGTTAAAGTAACGCAACGCTGTAATGCAAAAAATGGCCTGATCAGGAAGGGGGTAAATCCTTTGGAGGGCAAGTGGTTAATTCTGCCACCTTCATCTCTGGAACTTCTCACCAGTTCGATATTGACTATTCACTGAAGCTAACCTTTCATTTGCTCACTCTGCGCCCAGTTTGACAGGTCTACTTTAATTATATAAAGAAATATATAGATATTCCTAATTCTATATGGATATAACTATACAATATGTAAAAGTGGAGTAGGTCTTGTAGACTAGGTGCTATTATTATTCACATGTGTCTGGAGCTGCATGAGTTTTACACAAAACCTTGGAGAAATAATACATTTCAGCCTAAAATACAAAATCACAAAAATCATTACTGAAAATGAGGAGGTAAATCAGTCAATACACTTACTAACTCATGAAGAGGATATTCCCATTATAATTCACTCATGTTCCTTAAAGATTGCAGCTCTTCACAGTAATTACCCTCAGAATACTTGCTTTTGTGTCTTTGTCAGGAATGAAGATTGGCCATATTTAGTATGAGTAAAATCAATACTATATTTCTTACATTTAAAAGGATAAAACAATCCCTTTTATGAAAAGTCTTTCACAGTATTAGATATGGATTCCAGACAGATATAAAACAACACAATTTAAGTCAGTTCTGTATTTATGAAAAATAATGACATGCATTTTTAAATACAACAAGCATAAGTACCTGAATATATCTGTATGCGCATCCTTTGACAAGTAAAACAATTCTCATGTATGTATTTCAACTGGTTATTTAAAAATTTGCCTGGAGCTGGGAATTTGGCTTTAAAAAAATATTGCACCATTGGAAAAAAAAAAATGGTAATGAAAAATACAAAAATGGGAAACGAATAAAATATTGCCTTGCATAAAAAAATGGCACCATAGCCCTTTGCCATCAGTCAAGCCACCAATGAACCATACTACAAGCTCTGCCAGCCATATACTGGTAAGAAATGCTGGACCATGCAGTTCCTTAAAGGCATAGTTCACCTTTACCAAAAAACTGCCTACGTAGATAAGGGGCACCTGTAGATATAAACAAACTGTGCAGCTTTGACCGAAGTTGAATAATTCCCTTACTAATGGTATAGGTCATTTACATACCTCCTGAAGCCTGATTGAAAAACTCACAGATATTGCATCATCCCATCCTCTCTTGTTCCTAAGAGACTTCTAGCTTTTACTGTCCACCTCCACCATCACAGAAGCAAGCTCTCAATCTCTGAGCTCAGAGCTACTACATCTGGGGACCCAGAAAACACATGTGAGGGGGTTTAAATTCAAGAAAGAATTCACTGTGATGACAACCAGTAAGAGCTAGAAGACTTGAAGCAATGCCTCAGCAATAAGAGAGGACTGGATGATGCAATCTCTGGGAGTTTTTCAGTTAAGCTTCATGAGGTATGTAAATAGCCTACACCTATAGCAAGAGCACCATTCAAAAACATGTTTTTCTTCATAATTGTTTTTATGGGTTTTCGAAAAATACTCTACAAAACAGAGCCTTTGGGCATTCCCTGGCTCAAAAGAAAATATAACATAAAATAACAATCCAATCTGTAGTCACAACTCTGGTACCCTTCGATCAACAAGGGTAGCAGCATCCACATAACCAAGGTAGGCAATTGGGAGGTAGAAGTTAGGCACTATTATAGTGATTAGGCACATATCAAATTTCAGAAATATAAGCAAGACATTTAGGAGAGTAATACAATAAATTATAAAGTGCAGTATGAGCAATGTATAGTCCCAGGAAGATGCTAAAAGGTGAAGAGAGGGTACACAGGGGGAACCACCAGGTCAACCCCCAATTAGTCCCACCCCCTCAAGAAACATAGAATTCACACAACATTCATTTTAGTCAAGCACAATCTGCTCTAGCATTGATAGTAGAGAGAGATTTGATCCAAATATCTCAAATCTTATTGAATTTTTTTGGCAACCTTGTTAAAGATATACCAATTTATACAATGGGACCACTAAATTCACCAGTTTCTTCCAACTCTCTACAGTAGGAAGTCCATCGGATTTCCATGCAAGAACAATGGCTTTTCTAGCATGAAACAGAAGTAGATCCAGAAGCGTTCTAGAGGCCCTAAAGAAGGCTAGATGGTTGACCAAGCCCAGTAGACAAACAGCCACCGTTGAGGGATATAGTTAGTGAGCAAATAAACTGTAAGATATTGGCTCCAAATTGCTTGTATGTGGGAATAGAACCAAAAACATGAAAAAAGTCTGCAGGTGTGTCTCCGTACCACCAACAAATAGGCTCTGCTGTGGGATAAATACATTGTAGTGAGCACCATTCAACTTTGGTCAAAGCTGCACAGTTTATTTTTATCTATAGGTGCCCCCCTATCATAGTCACTTTTTTGGACTTATCGCTGATTACTAGTATAAGAAAAAAAAAATTTCCAGTATCTATACCGCCATTTGTAAACGCTATAACTTTCGCGTAAACCAATTAATTTACACGTATTGGGATTTTGTTTAGCAAAGAAATGCGCAGAATACATTTTGGCCTAAATTTATGATGAAATTTGATTTTTTTCCATTTTGTTACTGGACATGTTTAATAGCAAAAAGTCAAAATTATTTTTTTTTCTCAAAATTGTCGGTCTTACTTTTTTTCTGTAGTGCAAAAAATTAAAAAAGCACAGACAATCAAATACCACTGAAAGAAAGCAGCATTTGTGGGAAAAAACATACATTTAATTTGGGTGCAGCATTGCATGACCGTGCAATTGTCAGTTAAAATAACTCAGCTCTGTACCCTATGAACGGTACCAGGGGCATCTCATGGGGCCCCCTACTGACTCTGGGCCCTCGGGCAGTGCCCAAGCACCCGAATGGTCAGTCCGCCCCTGGTCCATACATAATCTGTAGAGTTTATTTATTAACCACTTGCCGTCCGCCTGCTGTTTATAAACGGCAGGGCGGTGGCACTCCAGGGGCGGGTTGCTGTTCATAAACGGCACCCGCCTTTTCTAGCTGTCGGCTGTGTCCTCCGGACACAGTGAAACACCGATCGTCGGACGGGACCTCTGTACGAGGTCCCGATCATGTGATCACTGATTGGCCAATCAGTGATCACATGCAAAGTAGTAAGCGAGATGTCACTTGTGACATCATTGCTTACTACGTGTGAAATCTGTGAATGATCACAGAGGTCACATGATACAAGGCTATTCACAACAGCTTTGTACCATGTGACAAGGTGTGACCAATCACAGGCTCACTCAGTATTTCTCAATGGCTGCAAGAATGCAGACAGAGAGAAAGAGAAATTATTGCTTTTACATCCTATATGGGTCTAAAAGCAATCACAGTAAAAAAAAAAAAAAAAAAAAAATCTTCATCACCCCCCACAAGTAGTACAGTGTCACCATGGTGACACTGTACTGCTAGGGTGAAAGTATGTAAATAAAATAAAAAAACCCCATAAATAATAATATAAAAAAAAAAAAAAAAAATGTAAACAAAATTATAATTTTTGGTTATAAACTAATTTGGCTTATTTTTTTTTTTACTAAAAATATAACGGAATACATACATAAGAAAAACACTTTTTTTCAAAATTTTGGGACATTTTCATTTACATAGCAAAAAAAATAAAAATCCCAGCGGTGAATAAATACCACCAAAATAAAGCTTTATCTGTCTCAAAAAAATGGTAAAAAATTCATATGGGTACAGTATTACATGACCGCGCAATTGTCATTCAAAGTGTGATAGCGCTGAAAGCTCAAAATTGCCCTGGACAGGAAGGGGGTAAAAGTGTCCGGACAGGAAGTGGTTAAAAATCAAGTGGTCTAGTATTTGGCAGAAAGCTAACATGTTTCGGCTTACAAAGCCTTACTAATTGCTTGATACAGTAATTATAATTATTATTATTATATAGGATTTATATAGCGCCAACAGTTTACTCAGTGCTTTACAACATAAAGCAGATGGTACAATTACAATGCAAATGAATACAGGAGGATTCAGAGGGCCCTGACAATGTATATGCTTTTGTTAGTTATCAGCTAAATGCTGACAGCACTAGGAGAGCTGGACCACATACAAGCAGCAGCTCAGCTCTATTCCAGACCCATCTCCACCCCAACAACACCCCGCTCTCATCACCAGGCATCAAAGGCACTTTTGATCAGAGCAGTGTTCAGTGGGGTAGGTTGGACTACATGAGAGCTCATGTGACAGTCTGACTCTCCTATGTGCTGGCAGCACAGTTTTTTATCATTTTGCCTATGTGCTTAGCTAATTACAAAAAAAAAAAGGAATATATTCTGACTGACACTAATAAATTAAGAAGCTTCATTTAGGCTTTAACATCTGGAGGATCACGCATTGCCTAAGCCTATTATGGGTATTATAAATAGATACAGATTATAACCCTGAATCTATACTATATACTTTTTAGAACAAATCTACTATTTCCAGTCCATGCTGCAATACTCATTCACCATGCAGACTTTGCAAGCTTCGCCCTCCTGATCTGTTATATTTAGAATTACCCTTTATGTCAATATTTGCATTCTTGCTATTTGTACAAGAAAGCCAAAGTACTTAGTATGCTGATAGATGCCCCGCTGTATGAATCTGACATTCAAAGTGAGCCTGGTTTAATTTGTTACTTGTGATAGCTGTCTAAGTAGTAAGGCAA